CTTGCGTTCCTCAGCTTCTGGACATAAGCCAGGCAAATACTGGTTCAACCGTGAAGAAAATGAACACCTTTTAAAAAATGTTAGAAGTGCTTTCATCAAAGTTTGGGTCTGAAAATGGAGGCAATGTAAAATATCTTTCTTGGTGCAGATATTTTTTCCTGTGATGGGCATAAGTTTTGCATACCTTTATCATGTTCAATTTCTGAACACATTCTTGGGCCATGTACAAAAGCAAGAGGTTGCCAATACTAGAATGACAACAAGAAATGTATTTTTCATGTCTTTTATCTGAACAAGCAGAGTGACAGTCATTCCCACTGTAATTACAGTCCTCAGGTGGTGGTAATATTTTAAGGGAGCCAATTGTCTCATCTGTTATTCAGACATAAGCAAGATGTTGATAAGACTCTCCTTGCCAACCATAGTACTGAGAATGTTAATTTTCATGGCTGAATCTCCACTCTGAAAGGGATTTTGTGCTTGAACTCTTACCAATGGCTCTTGTAACTTGCTTTCTTAAAGTTACTCAGTCTAGTGGTTAATTAGACTGTGATCTGATGGCAAAAAAGGAACTGGAGAAGAATGTAGATGACATTTGTCAAATTAGGCTGTAATTTTAAGATCTTGCTTTAATATCTCTATATCTTTCTGTCTTTTAAAAAATTTAGTTAAACATTCTATTTTGAGATAACTGTAAATTCACTTTTAATTGCAAGACATGTTACAAAAAGATCCTATACTCTTAGTTTCTCTGGTAGTAAAGCCTTTCAAAACTATAGTACAATATCATAACAAGGATATTGACATTGATGTAGTGAAGCTACAGTTCCGTTGCCTCAAGGATCTCTCATGTTAACCTGTTACAGCTCAAACCTACGTCTCTGGGCTCCCCCTGCCCCTTGCCACCACATTTCTAACTTCTGAACATCATTAATCTGTTTTTCCATTTCTATAATTTTGTCACATAAAGAATGCTATACATATGCAGTCATGTAGTATGTAACATTTTAGATTTGGCTGTTTTTTTCACTCAGTATAATTCTTATAGAGATGTAATTTAAGTTGTTGCAGATATTAAGAGTTAATTTCTTTTTATTGCTAAGTAGTATTCCATCACGTGGAGGATGCACCGCAGCTTGTTTAATCATTCACCCACAGAAGGATTCCCACATGATGAGGCTTCCAGGTTTGGGCTATTCTGAATAAAGCTATGAATATTCACATACAGATTTTTTTGTACGTGGTGACATAAGTTTGCATTTCTGTGTCATAAATTCCTAAGAATGAAATTTGCTGGTTGTGTGTTGCTTGTTTTATTTTTTAAGAAACTGCCACTGTTTTTCAGAGTGACTGTACCATGTCACCTTCCCACCAACTGTGTGGGAGTCATCCAATTTTTCCACATCCTTGTCAGCATTTGGTGGTGGTGGTATTACTGTTATTTCAGCCAATCTGATAGGTGACGTTAATTTGTACTTCCCTCATAGGCAGTGATGTTGAACATGTTTTCATGTGCTTCTTGAGCATCGGCACACCTTCTCCAGTGAGATGCCTGTTCATGACTTTTGCCCATTTTGTAATTAGATTATTTGTTTGTTGTTTGTTTGTTTTACTGTTGTGATTTGAGGGTTGTTTTTTTTTTTAAACTATCCTAGATAGTAGTTCTTTGTCAGAACTTTTCTTTTCTTCCAGTGTCTGACTTCTGTTTCATCCTCTTCACAGAATTTTTCACACAGCAAAAGTTTTCCTTTTGATGAGATCCAGTTTATCAAATTTTCCATCTGTGGATTGTGCTTTTGGTAACAGGTCTAAGCACTCTGGACTGTGATCCCATGCATTTTTTTTTCCTAAAAGTTTTATCATTTTATTTAATATTTGTCTATTTTTTATCTAATGTTTGTATAAGGTGGATGTTTTAATGTTTAAGTCAACAGTTTTAAAATTTGTTCCCCCCCCACCAGTGGATGTCCAGTTGCCTCAGTACTGTGCACTGAAAGGTTGCTTTCCATCCACTGAATTACTGTGCCACCTTTGTCTCCATTTTTTTATATTGCTTGGTGGATTTAATAATTGTGCAGAATGAAAATCAATATAATTGAGTATGCTAATACCTCTGGGTATTTAAGAAATAACAGACTCCTTTTTCATTTCATTTATAGGGTTTTGTGGTTTATTTATTTATTTATTTATTTAGATAGAATCTCTCTCTGCCCCCAGGCTGGAGTTCAGTGGCATGATCTTGGCTCACTGCAGCCTCTGCTTCCCGGGTTCAAGTGATTCTCATGCCTCAGCATCCCAAGTAGCTGGGATTATAGGCATGTGCCATCATCCCAGCTAATTTTTACATTTTTATTAGAGAGGGGGTTTTGTCACATTGGCCAGGCTAGTCTTGAAATCCTGACCTCAAGTTATCCACCCATTGCAGCCTCCCAAAGTGCTGGGATTACCGGTGTGACCCACCGTGCCCAGCCATACATTATTAACTTTTATTAAACTAACAAACAAAACCCAAAACCTATTCTCATGATCCAGAGGAAACATGGTTAACTTTTCAGGGTTTTTTTTGTTTTGTTTTGTTTTTTCGTTTTTTTGTTTTTTTTGTCTTTTCCCATGCATTTTTAGTATCGTGGAGATTATGACCTAGAAATTTTATATTCTGCTTCACCTCTCCTGACATAACATAACATAATATAAATACTTTCCTGTGTCCTTGGAAATTCCTTCTGAAATTTGTTTCAAATGAACCACCTATGTTATCCTACAGATAGATGACATATGTATTATAGATGTAGTATAATTTACCATATAAATATTATGTATACTGTTTATAATACTATTGTTTCTTTTTGAGACAGAGTCTTGAACTGTTGCCCAGGCTATAGTGCAGTGGCGTGACCTTGGCTCACTGCAATCTTCACCTCCTGGGTTCAAGCAATTCTCCTGCGTCAGCCTCCCAAGTAGCTGGGACTACAGGCGTGCACCACCACATCCAGCTAATTTTTTTTTTTGTATTTTTAGTAGAGAAAGGGTTTCACCATGTTGGCCAGGCTGGTTTTGATCTCCTGACCTCGTGATCTGCCTTTCTCAGCCTCCCAAAGTGCTGGGATTACAGGCATGAGCCACCGTGCCTGGCCACTATTTTTTGTAAAATAATTATGTATGTTATCTTACAGATACATAACATTTATTATAGATATATTCTACATATCATCAAATGTGCTACATATTTACTATATGTGTACCTTATTTACTATATATAACTACTAACTTTACTCTGTAGATAGTAAATATATTACATTATATATCATAGAAGTGTTATAATTTACTTTGTCACTCCTTATTGTTGAAATGTGAGTAATTTCTAATTTTTTTGTTGTAAATAATGCTGCTAACATTTTATTGTACATTCGGTGGCATCAGACACGTATCTTACCCTCTTTATTTAGAGCTAAACTTCAGAGTAGAGCAGATTTCATTTTTTCACCCTGAACAAGGTAGTTAATTTACGTTCAAGTTTCTGAGACAGAAAAGAAATATGGAATATATTAAACATTGCAGACAAGTAGTAAACTTGAATTCCTCACCCATTTTCCGGGTATGATATAATTATAAGAGGTTTTTTAATTGACTGATTTGAGGAACCAAATATTTTATGTAGACTTTGTTTTGTTTCTTCTTACTAGCTCAGAGGATCTTAAACTTTCTAGTACATAAAATTTATTTATGGGTCAAATATGCAAAATTTACAAAATTACTTATGTATGGTAATTCAAGGTGATTTATGGATCAAGGATAATCGTGACTGACGAGCTTCCACCCATCTGCACTTGAATATGGAATTCATTTTGTATTGTTCGATGCATTTGGGGATTTTTCCGTAGGATAGATTTCTATTTTTTTTAAGGTTATTTCTTGTCAAATGGCCTTTAAAGATCATCAGTGGAGCATAATAGTGTCACTCAAACATTTGCCATCAGTAAATATTACTATTAATTTATAGTCATTAATTTTTAGGTTTAAAAAGCCTTATTTGATTTTGCTTTTGGAGAACATTGTTTTTCATCTGTTCATTAGCTCTTTGCATTTTCTCTTTTTAGCATTGTTAATATTTTAATGTACTAGTATACTTTTTACTAGTTATTTTCTTCAAGTTAGTTGTGAAGACCCCCGTTCAAGCTAGCTTAATTAAAAGTTGCAGTGATGTTGATGGTATGGGTTCCTAGGGGTACAGATGATTTCCAAGAAACCCAGAGGAAAGGCTAGATCTTAACATTAGGAATTGAAAGATGGCAAAGAACTAAAATGTCTCTTTTACCTAGAGTAGAAATGATCTAGTTCCCTGTAGCAGGTTGCACTGTTTAACTGTCCTGCAAGTGTTTCAACATGGCCAACAACCTCTGTTTAAACCTACCAGCATTGACCTTTCAATTTGGTCTGCACCTCTGGAAGTAATCTTCGAGTGTCTGGGTTGAATATCCTAAGCAAGAATCTGGTTGGTGTTAATCAGCCAATCATTAGCTAGTTAGTTTAGTGTCTGGTCCAACTCTTCACCATCCGTTATGAGGAGTATCACATGATGATAACCATGAGCTGTCAGGTTCTAGGATGGACAGTGAGATCTTTAGCACAGACCAAGCCCATGGTTTTTGGATTTAATTGCATTTGAAATTCTAACATGTGCCTTGAATGTCTATTTTATTTGTACTTATTTGGAATTTTTATCTCTGGGACTTTTTCTGAAATATGCCAGTGATATTTCTATCAAAGCATGAAGAAATTTATCTTCAAGTACTGATTTTCTTTTGATTTCAGTAATTGTCTGAATGACATAATATGACCATTGTGGAAACAATTTTGATTTTTAAAACTTTATTTTTCCAAAGCAACATCATATTTCTGGCTTGCAAATATTTCACAGGTGAAAACATCAGAAAGAAAACATTTAAATGCAAATATCAGTCAGTGGAGATGCCAAGCTCAGTCTGTGTATTTCCTTCCAGATTTATCAACGATGCTGGTTAGTATTCAAGAAAGCTTCAAGCAAAGGTCCAAAGAGACTGGAGAAATTTTCTGATGAACGTGCTGCATATTTCAGGTGTTATCATAAGGTAAGACTCCATTGCTGTAGCCTTCCGGAGATCTATTTACAGGGAGGCAATTAGAATTATTGAGTCTGAAAACTTGCCTAAATTATTTAACAAAGTTGCAAGCAATACATTTTCTAAGGACTGAATACCCTTAAAATAACATCTGCTTGCTAATTGTTGAAAGTAATTGACTAATGTAAAGTGACTCTTCTGGTTTCTTGCTATTTGCTGGTGCTATTCTTGTTTATTATATGAGGCTTCCATGTTGTTATACTCCCCACATTGAAGCCCCAGGAGGATAAGGACTAGATCTCACTGTATCTCGGACTCTGCCTGATGCAGAAAGACACTCTTTCAATGCTTGGGGAATCTGGGGAGAGAGGAGGGAGGGGAAGGGGCAGAAAACAGGTAACTGTGGACAAGGAGGACGTTCGACCCATTTGTTGGTTTCTTTAAGTTAGATGACTAAATTTTCTTAGTAGTAGCGAGACTTCCTCACTAAAAATAGTCACTGTGTGTTAAAACTCATTAAGGTAAGTACAAGATTTACTTACCACTTGGATTCACAAATTAGCTAAGTATTTCCTTCTACATGGCAATATATTTTTCATGGTCCTTGTTAACACGCAGCCTATGTATTTTCTTTTTTCATGAAAACGTGTGAAAGCACGTGGTTAACACTCCTCTGAGGCTCTGGTTATTTTCATATGGAGAAAATACTACTCTTTTGTCTATGAGGGAACTGTGCTTATTTTTATGAGAGAACATTTTAATTCTGGCTTCCCATCTTGAAGAGTCTTTAAGCCTCATTTGGTGAGAATGGACTGGGGCCAGGCTTCTTTGCCATTTAAAATCGTATGTGAAACCCGTCCATCTATTAGAACAGAAACTTGGCTAGGTGGGGGAAGTGAACAGTTTTTCCTTTTGTGCAAATTCACCAAAAGTAGTGACTTTTCGACATCTTACAAAGGGTCTATGTTGACACCTTGTTTTGCATGGCGATGCAAATGGTAGAGGAGGCTGCCTTTCTTCTCAAATTAGAGAAATAAGGACTATGCTATACACATCTGTAGGTACATAAGGGAAAAATAAGCACAAAACAACCTTTTGGGACAGGTAGAGAAGGGAGTCAAGGGTGGCATTGTCCATGCAGTTCATTGTCCTGTCACCTCATGAAGCTTCTTCCACTCCTAGCCTTCCTTCTCTCCAAAGGAGAACCCACTTGTACCTTTTTAAGTCCAGACTTCATCTACCATTTATCTTTCATAGACCAAATATGAAATGACACGATTCAAATATATACGTTTTGTTCTCAAGGAGGAGTTGTTGAATTACAAATGTATTATTTAGATGCAGTGATCCGTGAAGCCCGTGATGGCATAACTCTGAACCCTGCAAATAATCTTGAGGCAAACTCTCCACTTCTGTTTAACACTCCAAACTATTTGTATCCAGTCATTTTGAACCACATGTATCATGTCCCAGTTATCCCTCGTATACCCAGTATTTTACGTAATAACAAGATGGTGAACAGTGCTATAGGGATGACTTGCTTTATTTTTGCTCAAACAGCTATTTCTTAAAAGGAGAATCAAAATACTCAGGAAGATGTTTGGCTTGTTATTGAGACACAGACAGAGCTTTAGGTGGTCAGAAATTATAGTTCCACATCAGGTCTTCCCTTGAGAACCTCAGCCGGTCTGTAACTTTGGAATGCACCCCAAGCCCCTGCATTGTCTGGTCATTGTGTATGGCCATTGGTCCTTTTTGTTTTGGTAGAGTTCCATATATGTCTGGAAATATCTGATTCTTCACAGTTCCATATGCCAACCTTTCTGAATGTAGACAAAATAAGAAATAGGCTATGTTTTACTGACAGACCTATATATACCTAAGAGAAGAAAGCAGATAAGCAAGGAATGTAAGAACTCCTCAAATCCTGTCCATCAGCAAATGGTATTAATTGGCTCTATGCTCAAAATGCGTGGAGACCTTGAAGACAGCTCACAGCCTCTTCTGCCACCACTGGGGCCCTAGGCAGTGGGCTGTCGAATTCTTGGGTCTGTTGCGTCTGTTCAAATCACTTATATCACATCATGATATTCTTTGCTGCAACATCCTCAGCCAAGGTCTTATGATGGTCTACGCCAATGGTCCCCAACCTTTTTGGCACTGAACCGGTTTTGTGGAAGACAATTTTTCCACAGATGGGGTTTGTGGCGGGGTTGGTTTCGAGATGAAACTGTTCCACCTCAAATGATCAGGCATTAGATTCTCATAAGGAGCACACAACTTAGATCCGTAGCACGCACAGTTCACAAGAGCATTTATAGTCCTCTGAGGATCAGGAGGCAGAGCTCAGGTGGGAATGCTTGCTCACCTCCTGCTTTGTGGCCTGGTTCCCAATAGGCCACAGACCAGTACTGGTCCAGTACCCATCAAATCATGTAATCGCAGGGTCCCTGGTCTATGTGGTTACATGATTTGATTTCCTGTTGCCCTTTTAACCTCATCTCTGAGTTTCCTGCATCCTACCTTCCTCTGCTCTAGGTGCCCCAGGCTCCTCTCTCTCCTTACAAGATGCCAAGCGCTTCTTGCCCTTTATACCTGCTCTTCCCTCTTCCTGGAATGCTCTCCCTCTAAGGTACCCTTAGAGCTTACTCCCTTACTTTGTTCAGGGCGTTGCTCAAATTGCCCTTCTAAGTGTGGCCATTTTTTGACTCCTTTGTTGGAAATAGAACCCACCCACTCACTGCCTTCCACATCCCTCTTGTTGCTCTTCTTAGGGGGCTTCATAACATAACATGCTCGATTGTTTCCTATTGCCTTCCCCTTTCCCCCACATAAAATAAGGTCTACAAAGGCAGGGATCTTTTTTTTGAGGTGGGGGGCAGAAGACATGATTCACTATTAGTTACTAGAATCAAACACAAAGTTTAAGACACTTTTTTTTTTTTTGAGTCTTAGTCTCACTATTGTCCACCAGGCTGGAATGCAATGGTGCGATCTTGGCTCACTGCAACCTCTGCCTCCCGGGTTCAAGCTATTCTCCTGCCTCAGCCTCCTGGGTAGCTGGGATTACAAGTGCCTGCCACCATGCCAGGCTAATTTTTATGTTTTTAGTAGAGACGAGATTTCACCATGTTGGTCTTGAACTCCTGACCTCAGGTGATCCGCCCACCTCAGCTTCCCAAAATGCTGGGATTACAGGTGTCAGCCACCACACCTGGCCAGTGAATACTTTCAAAAGTATGGGCTAAAAAGCAAGACATGTTATCAATAGAGGAAATGGAATCCATACAGATGTCTATGTGTCATATTTTTATTTAGCTTAACAGAAGAAATCTGCACTTGAGGCATCTGAAACCAGGAAAAGGAATTTGATTTGGAGAAAATAGGATGGACAGTGATGGAGACAGAAAAAAAACAGGATTTGGATGTTTTAGGACAGACAAATATATTAAGACTAAAATGGATGAAAAAGCTCTTATTTGAATGCGAAATGAATAAAGGGAAGTTGAGGACAAACTTGCCCTATTTCAGACTTCTACCTGCTGGCTTTGGAATTTAATATGTATATCTTTGGGGAACTCGGTAAGCCACATTCTCTTTCATCTACAATATTCATTAACCAAAGTTCAAAGCATTAGAACGGAAGAATTATCTACATTTAGCCTCCAAGCCCTTGATGAATTCCTGTAGCTGATTCATCCTCTACTCTTTTAGATCTGATACATTTAGTATTAATCTCTTGGGGCATATAAAAAGCTGCAGTAATCTGAGATATGCATTTTTCATCTAAATGCTGTGTAATTTATGAATCTTGATAATAAAATACTGGGGTTATAAGTAGCACACCGTGACCAAATTTTAGAGTTTATTCCAATATAAATAAAGCAATTTCCAAAAGAAATGAGGAAATGTACATCACGCTGTTTGATCAATATGAACGTGGTGTGGTGCATGTAGACATATCCTTCATGTAGGAAATCTGTAGCATCTATAAGAGCACAGTACTTCTCCCATTTTATTTTTAAAGATATTAAAAAAAATGCCAGTTTTGCATATCTGACTCTTTTTAGAAGTTTCAACATAAGAAAAAGACTGTAGACTTTAAAATTTGGTACCCCCTTACTGAAAATGTAGCTCAAGGCACACTCCTGCAAAAATTGGAAAATAAAGATATGAATAATGCACATATAGAACAATTCATTTTTCATTTCTTTACTTCCTCCATGAAGCACCCCTCAAGCACCCATAGCTGTCAGAGATGGCTGTGAATTTGATTAACTGTCATTGGAACAATAGTAAGGCTCCAGTGACTTTAAATATAGTTCCTGACCTTTTTGTTAAACACCAGTTCCCTGTTTTCATTCAGAAAATCATGTTGCTTATTCTAATTAGAAGGGATTGAAAGTTTGTGTGCATAGTTCTACTTTTTCTTTTTTTGAGATGAGGTCTCACCCTGTCACCCAGGCTGGAGTGCAGTGGCACTGTGTCGACTCACTGCAACCTCCGTCTCCTGGGTTCAAGCGATTCTTCTGCCTCGGCCTCCCGAGTAGCTGGAATTACGGGTGCCCACTGCCATACCCTGCTAATTTTTGTCTATTTTAGTACAGTTGGGTTTTCACCATGCTGGCCAGGCTGGTCTTGAACTTCTGACGTTAGGTGATCCACCCACCTCAGCCTCCCAAAGTGCTGGGATTACAGGCATGAGCCACCATGCCCCGCCAAAAGTTTGTGTGCATAGTTTTACTTTTTCAGTGAGTAACATTTGAGAGGAAATTGAATAGAGGGAAGACCATCTACCACTTTAGAGACCAAGGCAAATGATGTGGCGGGAAGTATGCCAGTCCTGGATTTAGGAAGCCTGAGTTCCAATCCCAGCTTTGCCATGGTATATGCCTCTGACACATCACCCTCTTTCTGTGTAAAGGTGGCCTCTAAGGCAAGTCACACATTCCCTTCCTCATCATCACATAGGGCTGAGTCTGCAGGGATTCATTCACCTTGAACCAGAA